AAGCAGCTAAAAGATTAAGACATAAGTGCAAGAGTTTTCAGAAATGAGGCAGTTATTTTACTGAAAAATTTTAGTTAGAATTTTTGTTGAAATGTACGATGTACAAATGACTAAGTGTCATTCTTGGGCGACAGAAGAAACACTGTTTTAATGAAGTATGTGAACCCTGCCAAGCGTCCCCATAGCTGTTCGGATTCCCTCTGGACTGCGCAGACCGTCTTACCTGGGTCTGGTGGTGTGAGCACACGTCCGTCGGAGCACACAGAACTCTCGGACGGTGTGGGCTCGTACAGCCCTGTCGAGGACATTTACTGTGTTGAGATAAACGACGTAGCAACATCCTGCTGGTGATGCTCCCTTTGTTCTGTAGAGAGGGCTGCAATGCATCTGGATACAGACTGGCTAACTGATGCTTCCTTAATTAAAAACAAGAAAAAAAAAGGGGGGAGGACTATACTAGGAATGCTACTTCATTTTCCCCACAGTTGAGAAACTGAAGATGTAGCAGTTACAGCAGAAAACAGCGAAGCAAATTACTGCTTACGACAACAATTGAATGTGCAAAATGACACAAATGAAGTACTTTATCCAGAATCGTGGAGAAATCTTATTTTTTGTTAAATTATGTTTTCAGAGCTGAAAACATTTTTAAAGCAAGCAACAGTCAACAATACGTGAAATACCAGAAAATGTTGTACACGGTGCACAGCCTACTCAGAATTCCCATTTCTCTGAATGAGTGAAGAGGTACAAGATGCTTGGCAAATAAAAGGATACAGCGAGCAAAAGGAAATGGTATATTTTACAACATCGTGACAGAGCTTTTTGCCCTCAATAGTGGAACTCGGCACCCTTCCGAACCTTAACAAAGTACATTTCAATTTGTTGGGCAGGTGTAATTGCTAGTTGAGAGGAGAGCAATCAAGGCACAGTGAAAAGCTTATGATTAGTTCCAGATTATGCACTTTTCTCTAAGTCTTCATTTCTGTTAAAGTTTCTGGCCGCTTCAGCCTATCAGTGAGTAAACAGACTGGTCAGAACCGCAGAGGAAATAAACACTATGGAATCATGTCAAGGGCATGGTTGTAAAGGCAAAGAAATCCAGGGCATTTAAGCACATGTGGTAATGAGTTGGATTATTTTTTTTTTTTAAGTTTCATACAGAAATAAAAGTTTTCTGCAGGCAAACAGAGAAGGCCATTCACAACTGCCTGTTAAACAAACAAACAAACAAACACCCTCCACCAAAAAAACAACCCACCTCCAAGATGTCAACTTCGCTTTCTTAAGTAACTTCCAAGCACATAGTAATAATTTCTCTCCTTACAGCAATGAGCTTACAATTCTTATCATTACCCTACTGGTAAGATACAAAGAGCATTATGAACATCCTTTTAATTGTCCATGAGTACTGTGACAACAGTTGCATTTCAGTTAACTGAAAAAGGGATAATTAAAAGCAAATACTCCTGCTAACAAAAAACCAATCGTTAATCACCTAAAGTAAAATTCACCGACTTACTTATTTTTCCACAGAAAATGTATGTATTCATTTCCTGAATGTTACCTAAAAAGCACAAGACTATTTTGAGTATTTACATCAGCAGCACAAGGTGTCGGGCAGAACAGCCGGGAAAGGGTGGTCCTGAGGGGACAGAAGGCAGCACAGCAGGGACGCCGCATCCACACCAGCGCAGCTACCGCCAGCCCTGGGATGCTATAGTGAAGCTTGCATAGACACAGTCCTGCTGGTACTGACTTTGACAGATGCAATTTTAATTACAGTTGATACTTGGGTTTGGTTTTCTTTTTTTTTTTGATTATGTGATGCTTGATCTGAAGTGCATGGTTGTAAAAATTGTTCTCCTGGAAACATAAAGCATAGGCATGAAGATGAATGCAGAGATGGCTTTGCTCCCCATCGTTAGTGTTCCTGAGCATTTGTACACAAAGCTGCCAGTTGTACTTCTGCAGGAAAGGCACCAGGCGGGTCAGCATTTGCTGGTGAAAGCTTCTCTTGGTTGTTTGTCTCCCAGTACCTTCTGCTTTTTCAGAAGCAATGAATTTCAGATTTCTAGTAGTCAGCCTCCCCCATGCTTTAGTTCACTGTACAACGTTCCTTTTCTCTTAGAAGCGTTACCTGCTGAAAGATCCATGAATGGTCTAGTTCTGTTCCCAGCAAACCACAACCATGAGGGAGAAAAATACTGAGCAGCAGTGTTGGGCTGTCTCACAGCTCCTTCTGAAGAAACTGCTTTATACAATTGCGCTTTCCCTCCAGCCCTGAATATTCACAGCTTTTCAGTGCTTTTGAGTTATTTCTGACAAACACAAGCAAGATGCCCTAATTTACAG